GGCGGAGCCTGCACCCCACGACACTGTTCTGCGTTAAGAGAAAGGAGGGAAATAACATCCTTACGGAGAGTATACCAGCCGCTGCCTTTGATCGAATGCGGTTTCTTGATCACGAATTCCGCTGCCTTATTGGTGCGCTAAGCCCGGTGGAGATGCTTCGCGTGCGGATAATATCAGATCGCTTTGAAAGCCGTCGCATACTCGAACCCTTTAAAAGCTTCCCGTACATCCCACACACGGAGAGCCACACGACGTACTGCGTCGATTACACTGCCGAAGCCATGGCACTTCTGACAGCAGACAACAATAACAACAACACAAACAACAGGATGATTGACGGGGATGAGAACATTCAGCGTAAGGTGACACCGTGGTGGAATGGCTTGGTGTACAATGAACTCCACCCGCGGGCACTAAAGCAAGAAAAGCGGCAACCGCTCATTGTGTTAAGTTCCTTACTCCAAAACCCTGTCAATGTCGCTGGCCTCTTCCGCTGCGGCGAAATCTTCGCAATTGAGAAGGTTGTCGTTTCAGACCAGGCCGTCTTTGCGCATCCGCATTTCGTGGCCGCCGCGCGCAGTGCTGAACTGTGGATGCCGTGGGATGCAGTAATGGCAAAGAATCTGCCGGAATATTTGGGTTCCCTGCGGCAAGACGGATACACACTTATTGGCATTGAGCAGACGGCTGGAAGCGTGTCTATCGCTTCGTATCGCTTCCCTGAGCGCGCTGCCATTCTCCTTGGCGCGGAAGGACACGGCGTGCCAGCGGAGCTGCTGCCCGTACTGGATGTGTGCGTGGAAATTCCTCAATTTGGATTGATTCGTTCGCTTAATGTACACGTCACTGGTGCCCTGGTGATGTACGAGTACACCCGTCAGCACCTTATGGAGAATAAATAGATCATGTAAAAGTAAATAAAAAAGATTTTTAATTTTTTAAAAATAAACTTGCTTTTGTGTGTGTGTGTGTGTTTATTTGTGGGTGCCTCGGTCCGTGATGTCTTCCTTAACCTTCCTTGCTGCGTGTTCTGTTTTTCCTTTATTGCGATCTCTCTAAACCGATGCGGTTTTGGTCTTTGTTTTTTATTGTTGTGTACATGCGGTGTGTGCGGGTGTGTAGTATCGCGGATGCAGGACGAGGCGGTACGGGCGGCGCTGGAGAGCGGCGTGTGGCGCGAGAAGAAGGACCCGAAATCCGGCAAGACGTACTACGTCAATGTTCAGACACGTGTCTCTGTTTGGAACCTTGCGAAGGAGCTTGCCAGGTTGCAGCAACAGCAGAAATCCACGGAGGAGATGGAGTTGAGGAAGCAGAAGAAACTGCAGAGCCTAGCCGAAGAGCGGCAGGCGCAGGCGAAAAAGTGGCAGGAGGAGGAGGAGACGCTGATGCAACGCATGGCTGAGCTGGAGCGGGAGAAGGCAAGGCTCGAGAGCGAGATCACAATCCTGCAGGGGCCGACAGAGGTGGAAGCAGCGTCTTTGCAGGAGGAGCAAAGCCGGCTACTTGATGCGAAGCAGAGCCTTGAGTTGATTGTATCGGAAGAACTGCGAAAGCGGAGGGAAAGTGCGGCGGAGTTGCAGCAGCTTCAGGCCCGTCTGGAGGCATTGCGACAGGAGCGACAGGAGGAGCTGGGAATGTTTGAGTCGCTGAGGAAACGCCTGGAGCAGCTTCGTCAGGAACATGCAGAGGCACTGGGGGATTTGCAGCGCGAGGAGGCGGTTGAGGAGTCGTTGCGGGAGGAACTTCAGCGTGAGGAGCGTCAATTAGAGGACGCCTTGCATGAGGAAGTGCGTCTCAAGGAGCTCCTGAAGATGCGGGAGGATGAAGTAGACCACATGAAGGCGGAGTTAAAGGCTGTTTGCCAGCGTAAAGCGGAGCTGCAGCAGCAACACCAGCGACTTGTGGAGGAAGTGGCCGAGAGTGCGATGGGTGCAGCTGAAGACACGCTGCAGGAGCCACCGTCATCGTCATCTCTGCTGCTTTCGCACCTGCAGCGTGAGGTGGCGAACCGAAAGAAGAGCCTGCGGCATTTAATGCAGCAGCAACGGCTTGCGAAGGAGGCGGAGTGGATGGAGGCGGAGAGCGCCGAGTTGAGACGCTTTACGGCCCTGGCAGAGCGCGAGGCCCAACGACTAGCGCAGTTTTCACGGGAGTTGAGCGATCAAGTGCGGGCGGTAACACCGTTGTTGGAGGCAGTCAAACATGACGTGCAGCAGCTGGAGGAGGAAATGGAGGAGTTGAGATAGTCACGCAACGCCTGGTGGTGCTTGACGGCCTGTCCGTTTTTTTTCCTTTTTTTCTTTTTTTACTGTTTGTGTTGGAGGGGGTTTTTCTTCCGCCATCTCCCTGTCTATCTGTCTGTGTCTTTTTCATGTGCGTTTCCGAGGGAGCGGACTCAACTTTCTCTTTCTTACAACTGCGTGTCTTCCCGTCCATGCACCCGTTATTTATTATTTTCACTTCTGTTATTTGCTTCGGGAGGTTCGGTCTCACAAGGGAAAGGGACGGGCACGAGGGAAAAACGTTTGCATCCGATTGTTGTAAGTTATCCCTTGTTTCTTTTTACCGTGTTTTTTTTATACGTTGATTTATCTTTTGTGTGTGTCGTGCTGAGAAATGCGTCGTTCGGCTTTTTCAACAGGCGTTGTGCCTGCGATTGCGGCAATTTTGTCTCCAGCAGCCCTGCAGGCTTCTCGCAGAGGTGGGCTTGTGATGCACACGCCAAAGTCGGATATTGTGTTGGGCCGCTTCAGTTTTATGGATCAGTACAACGAGTTTCGTAACCGCTCCGGTAGAGCCCCCGACTACTACGTGGAAAAGTACCGAGACACGTATTGGCGCGTGGACGAGTACATACGCCGAGCAGAGCACTACATCCAATCACAAGGATTTTTTTATCTGCCGACATTAGAGTTTCCGTGGTACAGGGGCTGCTTGCCACTCTTCTCATCGTACCAGATTCGTTTGCATTATGGTCGCCATCATCGTGGCTATGTAGAGAAGCTGAATCAGCTGATTGAGGGCACGCCGTTGTACGGATCTAACCTGGATGAGATCATCCTCCGCACACACGATGATGTGATGCTCACTGGCGTTTACAACAATGCCGCCCAGCACTACAATCACTGTTTCTTCTGGAAGTGCATTCAACCCTACGGCAGTAACATTCCTCCTGACCTGAAGGCAGCTGTTGAAAAACAGTATGGCTCCGTGGAGGAGTTTGAGAGGATCTTCACGGATGCTGCGCTGAATCTGTTTGGTAGTGGCTGGGTTTATTGGGTTTACGACACCCGTTTGGGTCAATTTGATATACTTTCACTGTCGAACGCGGGATGCCCGCTGACGAATACGCATGTTGTGCCGCTGCTGTGCGTCGATGTGTGGGAGCACACGTATTACGTGGACTATGAAAATAACCGCGCCGCATTTCTTGCCAAGTACTTTAATGTGGTGGACTGGCACTGGGCAGAGCGCCACTGGAAACGGGCGACAGGGCAGGAGTACTACGAGATGAAGTTCTGGTAGGACCTTCTTGCAGTGGAAGGAGGGAAGGAAGTAAAAAAGAGAAACCACACAAATACACCAAATAAACAACAGCAACAACCGTATATAAAAAGAGTCGTTTTGCTTCTGTTTCTCTTATTTGTGTGTGCGTGTGTTTCTTGTAAATTATATATATGTGGATATGTTTGGGGTTTTAAGAAGATGGAGAAGAGAAGGAAAAGGGTTCGTATTTGTCCGCATGCGCATCAGGGCACTGCAGCGATGGCTAGTAGATCGATGTTTTCTGATGTTATAATAGGGATGGGGGGCGGGGTAGTAGTTAGCGGAAATGTGTGCTGTTGAATTGGGAGGGGAAGGGGGGTGTATAATTTGGGTAATGTGGAGGGGATAACGAAATGCGGGGATTCAGGGATTATGGGGGGTTAATGTGGAGACGTTTTTGTACATACCTTTTTGGCGGAATGCCGTTTGTTGAAGAGTGATAGAAGGCTGCTGCTTCTGCAGGTGTTTTTTTTTTTTTTTGCTGTTGTGCATCTGCGGTACGAGTGTGGAGTGATTGTAGTGGAGAATGCAAGAGGAGCAGCCGAGTAGTGAGCGAGAGAGAGAGAGAGAGAAAGGGCGGGTGAACGTCAACGAGTTGTTCACTTCACTCCTGACAGATTGTCATGGACGAGTTTCTGGCCTGCATGTCTGCATTTGTCTTTGCTTGGGCTTTTGCGTGAAGTGATGTTTGAGTACGCAAAGCCCTCGTGGTTTTTCCCCCCTTTTTGGGTGTCACATGCTTACAGGAGGGGGGACTTCTTCGAAGTCATTTTACCACTTGCCATTGCTGCTGCTGCTTTTTTTTTTTTTAACCCTCGTGAGAGAGGGAGAGAAGGGAAAGGGAACAGATATCTCAACAGTTGAGGAGGAACACACGTAGAAACCTGGAAGAATGATGCGCCGTAGTTGTTTTTTGCTTAGTGCCGGCATGGTGGAGTACCACGAGTGGCACCTCCATGAGCCACTCCTGCAGAACTACGAGGGCTGGCGCATTCTAGACAACCCACGCTACGAGAGTAAGTCTGAAGCGTACATCTACGACTTTATTGGTAGTGTCCGCCACCTTGACCCCATCATTGACGATCCACGGCTCACACACAAACAACGCGTTTGCCGACTTTACAGGTGGGCACTTAAAGAGCTACAGATGTGGCTTGTGCAGCTGAATGCACACAAGTTTAATCTTGCCTACAAGGTAGTGCGCCGGCGATTTGAAATGTATCGCTACGTCACGGATCCTGCCATGTGTGACATGATGGTGCGTGAAACTCAGAAATACTTGCGTGAAAACGCGAATTTCTACTTTCTCCGTCGCAACAATACCTCGCCGTGGTCGACGCATACCCTTGCGAACCCCATGTTTCACCCCGACGGGTCGCAGGTGTACGACCACTGGACACACCCGGAGGTGATGTGGTATGACGACGCAAAGCTGCATCGCTGGACGGGTCATCACCCAATGTACGCCGGGGCAGGAGAGATGTCCGATCGCTTTGGAGACATGGATGTCTCGCCACATCTTCGTATTTTTACTATCGCCATCTTTGGTTGCATTTCACTGTGGTCTATTTGTAGTTTCCTTGCTGTATTTGATCGCGATGTTGACCCACACTTTGAGAAGTGGTGTGAGTCGTTTGACGACAATCTGAAGGGTGCTCTCTACGCGGCGGAGCGAAACTCACGTAGCAGGACCTCGATGTTGGGGTGGGACTGGGACCGCATCATGGGAAAAGTACAGCATCAGAGTGGCTATCATTTGTACAACGTGCAAAGATTTCAGTAAGGGATGCTAATGGATGGTGTAGAGATGGTGTGCAGTTGTATTTCTCGTTTTATTGAATGTAGTAGGAGTAGCAATGATGGTGGTGTTTGTTGTGGTGGTTGAGGGTCGGTGGGGATTTGTAGAGTGAAAGGGGCTATGGTATTGGGGGGGGGGGGGGGATTTTTTTTTTTTCTTCTTTCTTTTGGCAGTCGACATGCTTGGAAAGCGGCGGGCGGTGCAATTGTGTGTATATGTATGTCTGTGGAGGAGGGTAGCATTAGTAGTGGTATTGTTCGTAGTAGTACTAGATGTGATGTAAGGAGCGTTTTGTGTGCCCTCGGTGAAGGCATGGATGCACGGAGTTGTGCCTGTGTGTGTTTGTGTGTTTGTGGTGATTCTTTGCATGAGTTGCACCTTGGCTGATATTGTTTGTTTATTGACTGCGGTGCAATTTTTGTGGAATCGTCTTTTTTTTCTTCTTTTTATTTTTATATAATTTTATCTGCTGGTTTTTGCTGTGCGTTGGGTGCTGCGTGAGTGATTTGCGCGGAGAAGGCACCGGTCCACAAAGGAGCACGTGGCGTATTCAGGAAGGGAGTTTTGTTTTGCGTGTCGATCCGGCGCGGTTCCTCCTTGAGGGTATGGTCTCTTTGATTTCACTGTCGATGGACATGGATGACCAGAGTGCGCTCTCGCTTGTCAACGAGTTGGAGAACGCGGTGATGCGGCTGCACGACGAGAGCATCGACCGGCAGAGCAGCAACAGCACCTCCAGGGCAGAATACCAGCGACTGATGGATAGCCACACAAAACGTGCGGCGGTCATGGAGGAGTACCGGCTGATGGTGGAGCGCCGGAGGAGACAGTGCCAGCAGCAGCCCGCCCAGTGTGTGGAGGCTGCAGAGGCCGACGGTATTATTTTGAGCGAAGGCCAAATTGTGAACGAGGCGGCAGTGTCCGACAGGAAGGCGCCCAAGACGGGGGCTCATCCCGCCGGTGAAATTTCCGTGACATCTCCCACCGCCAGCATCATCGCCACTGCTGCCAGTGTGACCTCTTCTCTTCGTAGTAGTTCATTCAAATGGAAACGGCCGCGGGGCGCTTTTACTGGCAGCACGGCGAGTTCAGCGGCGAAACAGCGTGCAAAAGTAAACTCCGCGCCAAGCACCCCGCGAGGAGGCGAAAA